ACATACGCCACTGTTTTCAACACCCATAGACAAGCCTATCATTCTCTGAGTATTGGAAATAAATGATATATATTTAGGAATAAACAATATCTTGGAGAATGTTTATCTTTGAGAATGAACTAGAGCCATTTTCACACCCATGCATTTAGACAAAAATAAACTTAATTAACTGTTTAATATCCCTCCAGAAAAATACTAGGTCTTCAAGGACTATATCATAGATGTCTAAAAAAAAAAAGTAGCCTCTAAATCCATAAGTATATATTATAAATATTGCCTTGATATTCTAAAATAATGTTTGCTAGAGAAAAATAAAAAGAGAAACACTGAAAAATCTTGGTCAATAGAAATAAATATAGCTGATATTTATCCCATTAATCCAAATTATTTTTTTCCCTGACAAAGTGTAGTGTCAACTGTAATGGTGTTGATGAAATTTTCAAAAGGGTCCAGAGAAATTAATCTAATCAGGCATGAAAAATAAGTTGCTTTCATAAGTAAATACCATGGACTGTTCTATTGTGTGGGTGCTTCTTTTAGAAGCTGGAAAAAGTTGTCTTTTTAAGATATTCCCCAACTTTCAGTGGCAGTTAACCAAAGTAACACAATAACTTTTAGGCTGAGAAGGAAAAATAGTTACTCTTATCAGAGGTGCGGATCATTCTGCAAGGAGCCTACCACAAGTGTGATGGTGTTCTCTCTTCTATGAGCCTGTTATGAAGAGTTGATCCTCAGAAGAATCCTGCAGTAATTCCTCTCTGACAGCATTACATGTATTGGGTGGGGGAGTAACTCTAAGTATCCTGTGACCACCATGGTAGGACCATACTGGTGGTCCTGAGATGAAGAGTGGCTGAAAGATACGATAAGTCTATGGACAAGTAATCAGTGAATGTAGGAGAACAGAAATCAGGTAAGAGAACATAATTTTTTGGTTAAAAATATAAATTATGCTCAAGTAGTATTCCAGCTGTAGACTCATTGAGACCCACTCAACAAGGCCATGCTTCATGCAGAGTAGAGAAAATAAGTCTTCCGAGTAGGCAAGGGTAGGCTTTCTCACTCTCCCCCAACTTAGTTAGGAGCAATGGGAAGTTTTTTCTCTCCCAATATATCCCCTTACCTTTTCCAGTGAGAATATTCTCGAAAATATTAGAGAACTGTTTTTCAAGTTAGCTAATTCTCTCACCCCTTAAATCATTTACACCCTGGTATAAATGAGTTAATCGGGTGACTTTCCTCCAGGGTGGAGGAACCACAGAATTCACTGAGAAGATGAGAGAAATTGGGTTTTTCTTTACTTAGGCACAGCTTGCAGAAAGTGGGCCCTGATGAGGAGTTATTTCCTGCTATCTTGAAAGAGCTGCACTGCAAAGCACTCTCTTTCTCTCAGGCATTACCCACAAAAAAATGGAAGCATAGCAAGCACTCCGTACACAACTCCCAGTATGCAACAGTTAAACTTAAGTAATTATTTAAGTTAAACAATGCATCCTTGAGGGCAGGTAAGGAAAATGAATGGTATTTTTAAGGATGCCTACAAAATATTCCTAAGGAATAGTGAAATTCATCATTAGGGTGGAGGTAAATCTCATTCTTGAGTTTCATAAAAACTCTCTCTTGCATGTATGCATTTGAAAACACATGCATGTGCCTCATTTAGTATTGAGCATAACCGAAGCACTTGGTTGAGCTGACTTGGTAGTAACACCCTGCACTTTGTTCCTTCACCCCAGCCCTCCTCTATAATCACAGCGTTAGCCTTGGCTTAGTGAGAGGACCCTGCTAAGATAACTACCAGAGAATGGGGTACTTGGCAGAGTGGATCATGATGGTCTACTTGTTGGTCATCACCAAAGTGGAAAAGAGGCCATTCTTGTGGGCGAGCAAGTTTGGAACAGTATCACATTCCACTAAAATGCCCTCAGAAAAGACTAAAACAAGACCTGCATCCAAAATAGAAGAGACACGGTGCTGGAGAGAAAAATGGAAAGAAGAAAAGAGAATCAGCAGGAGGAAAGATGTCCAAGTG